AAATGTAAAGTGACAGCTCGTTTTACCTTGCTTAAGTGCTGGATTGATGTGGACATCAGGTCCACATGGTTGGAACCCACGAACTCTTCACATACTTCCGCGAGTCTGCACTCCAGCAGGGTGAAGACCACCAGCTTCAAATGATCTGGCAATTGTCCCATCGAGTCCAGCACTGGAGTGTCCTTGTCAATGCCCCAGCAGAGGTCGTGTCGCCCGTCAATTCCTTACCCGACCTCTTCCCAATGCCTGCGACCTCGCTTTGCCCTACTTGAGGTGCTCCCGGAGTAGTGGAAATGCCTGGTTGTGACCTCTCGGGCTGAACACCCAGATCCTCCGGTTCAGACTCTGACTCTTCGGTCCGAATCTGTCGCCTCTTCCTGGGTTGTTGTCTTTTGCCTCGGCTTAGCAGTCGAAGGCTGGGAAGCGCCCGTAGGTCAGACCGGGGCGCCCGCTGAAGGTTGGGAAGTCCCAGTAGGTCGCGTCGGAGCTCCCGATGTCACCCCTTCGGCCGAGGAACCACTGGGAGCAGCTTCAGTCTTCCTAACGGTGCTCACTCAAGGGAAAGTGAACTACCTTCATCGTGGTGACCTTGGCACCTTAGGAGGCATAGGTGCTGCATGTGAACCTCGTTAGTAAAAATAGTTCATTGCACAATCAAGAAAGACCTAGTTAATGCAACTTACTCGATAGGGGCTCTAAGGTCGCTTCCGGGTTGAAGAAACCGTACTTCTGCAAATTCTCTATCGTCATGAGCAATCTGGCATCACGACTTGCTTCGGGTAGGAAGCCAAAGGTGGCAATTCTATCCGGGTCTGTGAGGAGTTCCATACTGATCGTTTTGTTAACTGCAAAGGAAAAAGAGCTCGTTAGCAAAGACCAAAACAGTTCACAAACTTATAAAAAAAAAAAAAACTACTCAAATCCTAGAAATAGCAAAAGCCATCATAGTGGAAGAAAAAGAACTTCGTCTCGCAGGCTCCCACATTGCTTGGGTAACTATATCTACCCGCTTCAATGGTGGTCCACCTAGAAAGGTAGTAAGAATCTTTTTCCTTACTTTTCTTCAAAACGTACGAGCAACCGAGTTCCACTGTAGTTAGCTCGCCCAATCTGCTCTCGCGGCACGTGATTTACATCGCCACTGCTATCATATATGCATTTGGCATGAGCTGGAGCAGCGCGATCCTGAAGTGGTCGAGAACCGACCTGACAAAAGGGTGGAAGAGGATCAACCCTCCACTCTTAAAAATGCTCTCGCAAATCGTAGCCAACCCCCGTGGCGGATTCCGAGCTGTGTGTGTCCTATCTCGGAAGACATCCACATAAAGAGCATATTACTCTACTATTTTGTCCAGATCCTCGACAGTCAATATCGACAGGATCTCTTGAGGGGGACTCGCAGGAGCATCCTACGCAAGCGAACTGGTCCCTTCCTCGACTCTGGTCGTTGGGGGGTCCATTCTACAACAGTCTGCAAAAGCGACAATTAGGGAATCATTTAGTCCTCGTACACTACTTCGTAAGATGACGTGGAAGAAAGTAAATACTTCCTCTCCTGAGTCCCAGAAAAACCCTATCAGAATGTTTCGAGCCACCATTCATGGCTCGAACCCAGCGAGAACATTTCGTCTCCGATTAACTACCAGCAGACTGACATCGTTTATCAACTATTGGAAATAAGAAATAAAAACGGAAAGAATGATTCTTACCTCTAGGAATATGAAGATGAATCCCTCTGTTTTGAATATCAAGTACGCGCTGGTTTGGAAGGCAAAGAACCGAAGTTTACGAAAGTCTCTTGCTCTCTCTGAAAAGATAGTATGGTGACATTGCCTGAAATGAACCTGGGTTTTATAGGACAAGAAATGATGCTTGGTTTTCTCGAAATCAAACAACGTTTCGGCGGAAAAATGTATCTCACCGTTGATCGTGACCACGTGTCGCAGATCAACGAGGAAAGGTGATCGTCATGCTTCAAGAAAACCAAATCGTCGTCCTTTTCTGTTGAAAAACTCAAGCGACGGCACGTTCTCCCTCCACATTAAATGCGCCCCAATCTGCATTTAATACTCTAATAGGGAATGTCGTTTCAGCATGTCACGCATTTAATGCGCATGGCTGGCACTTATTGCACACAGGACATGTCTGTCTGTCAAAGCAGAAGGTATTTCATTAAATGCATCCATTATGAGCATGCGACAAATAACATCTGAAGAGATCGTTACATAGAACACTCTTCATCGGGCCAATCACGAAGCGACGTGACTCCTTGACTCTACCCCATTGGTCGCGAAGCGACGTGACTCTCGATGAGCATTCAGTTCCGAAAAAGCACGATCCCTTGTCTAGAAAAGAATTCCAAGTATAATCAGGTCGTGAACTTTGGAAGATTGAAATCAAAGCACTGGTATGGTCTAAGATCAAGTCGTTCATCCTTAAAAGCAATGACTATATCAGGTCGCATGCATAAAAGCGCCGTCTTGACCTATTTTCAATCAGGTCGGGTCTACCAAAATCTCTTCAAAGACGTCTTGTCACGGCATGATATGTAGTTTCCAAGGTTCGATCCTCAAACCTTAAAAACTAGGAGACTTCTGTTATGTCTGAAAAAGTAGGGCTGATTCAAAACCCATTTAGCATAAAAAGTCAGAGCTTAGGTAGGTTCGCAGCCATTCAGATGCAGCCACGTCGCATGATGACATGTGCAGCATGCTTCTGTCAGTGCAGTGTGCGCGTCAGACTAGCCAGGAGCTAAAGTGATTCCACGTGTCCAATCCCTGCACAAATCGTGTAAATCGCTCTAGAAGATGGGCCATGGGACATAAAGAAGGATTTGCACGGATAATCCCACCAATTCACAGATTTAGTAATCATAACCTTAACCCATCCCACTATAAATTAAGAGCTCCTCTCACATTTTGGGGATTGGCCAATCTCTCTAAAAAATAGCATACACACTCTCTCTCTCTCTCTCTCTCTCTCTCTCTCTCTCTCTCTCTCTCTCTCTCTCTCTCTCTCACTTGTAATCATTTGTAAAATCAGTTCACTGAGCGCGACCTAACCACTACTATTAATACAAAACCAGTGGATATAGGATTTGCTTCCTTGAGCATTCGAACCACTTCAAACACTGTTCTCCATTTCTTTTACTTTCACTCTCTCATTCACGTGTGTCTTCTGGGCCAGCTCAGCATTTCACACATGCGTTTGGTTGGTGTCAAAATCACACATCAACATTGTTGTATTCTTATTACCATATTATCAACTAAAAATTGTCCTGTTTTTAGCAAGCATTAGTAGAAGAAATATATATATATATATATATAATATCTATATATATATATATTTTAACGTATCTGATGATGAATTGCAAACAGATTGAAAGCTCATATATATATATATATGAGCCATGATCACACATCATAGTTCGATTCGGTAAGGGTAATTCTTACATTGAAAGCTCCATCAGATTGAATAATGATAGGTTTTGACCCTGATGGTTCTACCATTTTTTTTAAGTAAAAGAAAAAAAAAGGAGAGAGATAAGAGATGAAGCACCCAAACTCTCAAAAAGTTCACTGGTGTCTCCTCTTGGTAGTAGCCGGTCGACGTCGTTAGCTTCAACAGATCAGCATCAAATCGGTGGAAGATGACAACAGTAAAAGATCGGCACTTTGACAATCGGTTTTCTTGGCATCAGCGATAATCAGTTTTTTTTGGCATTGGTTTTGAGCCTTTGTCAATTTGATCCTCTTGGAGATGATTGGAGCAGATCAATGATTTGATCTTCTTGGCGACGACTTAGCTTCAACAATCTATTGTCGGGGACGATCGGGTTTTGGCGTCGGCTTCAGGACTTCGAAGATCTAATTCACTCTACGACAACTAGTCTCCTGGTGACAACACAACGGAACAACGACTTATTTCCAATTGGTGGTGCTGTTTGCGTGGCTGGAGTTGATGGCTAGTGATTTGTGTTTGATTGACATTTGGCTGGTGTTGTTTGTGTGGCTAGAGTTGATGGTTGGTGATTTGGGTTTGACTGGTATTTGGTTGGTACTTAGATTGTGTTATGCCTGAAAAGTTAGGACTGAAGTGGAACCTCATCAACAAAGGCCAATCAGGGCTCAAGAAAGTTTTGTGCCGCCCAGGCGTGGCCGTGTCGTGCAATGGTGCAAGTGGCATGGCTCCTGTCAGCGCAGTGGGTGAGTGTCAGGCTTGTGAGTAGTTAGAGATCGCTCACGTGTCCAAACCCTATGCAAGTTGAGGATATCTCTCGGGCAGGCAATCACTGGAATGCAAAGAAGGACTTGCACAGCACCTACCCACTTGCAGATTTGTAATCATCACCTTGAAATTTCTCACTATAAACAGAGGCCTTCCCTCTCATTTACGGGATTGGCTAATCTTACTCTAAAATAGCTTACACTCATTCTCTCTCTCTCTCTCTCTCTCTCTGTATTCTCTCTAAATTGTAACTCAGCTCGCTATGCGCGACCTAATTTTACCCTTTTATTAATACAATAACAGTGGACGTATGATTCGCTTTTGAGCATCCGAACCACTTTAAATATCGCCTCTCATTCATTATTCATTTTATATCCCCATATCAGATGTAATTTCTAAGTCCGCTTAGCATTTTACCCGTGCGAGTAGTTGGTGTCAAAATCAAGCATTAACAGGTTGATTGGTTGTTTTCTTCTCCTCGGATTGGCAAGGACTAGAATGATGGTTACTCGTCGGTGTATTTCTCAGTGGTTGCTCTACAATGAGCAATTATCTAGATTAGAGAACATGGCTCTTATACCATGTTTGCTTTGAAGAATTTTATTTTTAATTCATTGATTCTCACCAAAGAGTTACAATCTTTATGTAGAGAGAATACAATCTACTGAATCCCTTAATTATGTCAGATTATACAATATATTGTTTGACAAATTTAAGAGATTATAGAATATTTAGAATATTCTAAAACTCGTAAACCTAACATAATTGGAAGATTACAGAATAATTAGAAGATTTAAAGAACAATTAGAAAATCTCAACACGAAATTTTAACATCAAGATGACAACCATAAATCAATTCTCGACTCTGAATGAAGTAATTGCAACATGTTTCATCAGAATTAAGAGAATTTTAATTTATCATGCCAAGTAAAGTAACTTCTGCTTCAATGATGCAAGTGTCATTAACCAAGTAACCCAGTTTTGGGTCCTTCAATTTAGCCAACAACATGAATTTTTCTATACTCCTTGCGTTCTTATTGGGGGCGTTATCTGAAGATAAATAACAAAACACCTCCATCAAACTCAAAAGAAACCAAGAAATTTACACGACGCAAAATCTTTGTGTGCACATTATAGACATACTTTGAAATATAATGTCTTCTCCGTTCATTTGATCTTTGACGCGCAGGATGAAATTCACAAACCATTTAGCAGTCTCAGGAATACCTGCAAAAGTATATAGATAAAGTGAAATGTAGCTGCCTTTGGCTTCTCCAGCTCCTTTAGGGTGGAGACAAACTCCCCTGCAAAACATTAACAAGAAACTTCATCAGTAATTTGAGTAGCAAAGAGAAGTAAATTAAATCAACAAATGTCAAAAGAATTTTTTATATACCATTGTTGGTCTCCAAATCGACTGGAGTAATGATAGTCATCAGATAAAGTCGAAAAATTATTAACTTTCCAAATATGGAAACAAGTAGCAGGCTCCTTCACCATGGATAAGCACTCCCTTTTGAAAGTGCTTCTGACAACAAAAACCTCCGCACCAAATACACAAGTGTCATCAATAAGGTATCCCTTGAAAGGGTTATGAAACGTTTCCAAGTCCATAAATTTAGTGATTCCCCATTCAGTCTTCATTGCATGGTAACGTCTTTCAGTCCATTCTGCGGGACAAACATGTAAAGTTGCTATAATTAAAATGTAAGATGCAACGGACAAATTATACAATGGTATATCATTGTATTGCTTGTGTATATCACGTGCACACTAATGTAATATACTCTCATTAGATGATTACTAGTGAATTTCACATAAGAATTCCCTACTGTCGAGGACTTACCTCGTACAGTAACATACCTGTTTTGAAGCTGATTTAATATAAAAAAATTGAAAACCACATTCACATCCCACCCGAAAGAGAACGAACTCGTTTCCACTAATGCCAAATAAATAGAGATAAAACCTTCCCCATCGTTATGCTTGTCCCCAACTGGGTAGAGAGACAATTTCCTGCCATTTTCATGTTAAATTGCAAAGTTTGTAAAAGTTAAAACATTTAATGTATTTCATCCACACTGTAGAATCGAAAATTGTCATAATAATATTTTAAACATTTATAGTTTATTTTAAATACTCAAGAGATAGAACGGAAAGCTTTATATATACCATTTGTAGCCTTCTGCATCAAACTGGTTTGAGGTGTACTTTGGTAGAGGAGCTTTAGATAGTAAAGAGAAAGACTCAATTTTGAACAAGTAATGACTAGGTGGAGCATCCCTTCCTGAAATCAACAAAATAAAAGAATATAAACCTTTCTTAATGAAACGAGAAATAATTAGGTGAAATAACTAGACTATATAGATCATTCATAACAAGGTTGAGATCTTTAAGTCCGAAATCTTCATTAATGATTTGATACAAGTTATTCTAAGGATTTATTATTTTATATAACTAACGATTAAGATTGAAAACACAAGGTAATATTTGATGTTATCAACTCATAGCAACCTTATACATTGTTCTATTTAACCAGATGAATAATTAAGAATTTTTATCAAATTTCAACAAATAATTACAAAACATCCAGGTATTTCCATTTGTATTCTTCATGATCATAAATCAGAAGAAATTAACTAATATCTATTATTTCTTACATATCCTAATCAAACAAAACATCATAACAATTGAGTTAATATAATTTTAGCATTAGACTTGGTCACTTAATATTTGGTATATAAACATGGAATAATATACCTTCTGAAGTATTGCCTTCAATAAATAGCTGGGTGTCCATTTTCAACTGCTTGCAATGATTGACTGTGAATTTGATTTTACAGATATAGATTTAAACTAGCTAGGATGCTCTATTTATATAAATTAAAATGCCCTGTTAATGACGTTGTAATTGCCTCTTGTTCATGGAAAGGAATGACCTTGAATTTTAGAATTTGATTGTTCATGCCTTTGCAAATACATAAACGAATGTATCCAATGTCAGATAAGAATCAATCCATTTCTTAACATATATCATACACTATTTTTGCTTAATAATAATGTTACATATATACCTTCCTTTTAGCTTACTAGTGATGAGTTGTCTCTTTCGTCCCTTCATTAAGTTTAAAATAGTATAAATTACAATAGATAAAAATAAAAAAAAATAAAAAAAATTAAGGTTTGAACTTGAAGGGACATTATTCATTTGGAGTATTCTCTAAACCCCCGAACTATATCTATATTATTAAAACCCTTTTTTCAAAAGCATATGCCTTTTCTTGGGCCTCTCAGAAACAACCTTAGCTTCTTTGCTTCTTGTTCATGGAAAGGAATGACCTGTTTCTTCGGCTTCTTTGCTTCTTGTTGATGGAAAGGAATGACCTTGAATTTTTAGAATTTGATTGTTCATGCTTTCGCAAATACACAAACGAATATATTCAATGTCAGATAAGAATCAACTTATTTCTTAACATATATTATGTACAATTTTTACTTAATAATAATGTTACATATATATCTTCCTTGTAGCTTGCTAGTGATGAGTTGCCTCTTTTCGTCCCTCTATTATGGTTAAAATAGTATAAAAACGAATAGATAAAAATCAAAATAATTTTTAAGTTTTGAACTTGAAGGGACATTATTCATTTGGAACATTCCCTAAACCCCCTAACTATATCTATATTACATAAAACCTCTTTTTCAAACCATTCACCCTTTTTCAATCTCTGGCTTGGATTTTCATTTTCAAAAGCATATTCCTTTTCTTCGGCCTCTTAGAAGCAACCTTCAGTTTGTTTGCTTATATTTCTACCATTGGCCTGCTTTTCCTATACTAAATAACCCAAAATCAATGGTTCTTTCAGGAGTCTGATATTTATGGTGGTACATTTGAGTAAGAAAAATTGAGATTTTATTTGTGTAAAGGAGAGGGGAAGAGAATAATTAATTCTGAGTGGGATTATAGGATTAAATGGTGTTTGGTGAATGCTTTTGGCGTTCTTTTTTTCTTTTTCTTTTTTTTTTTTTAAATTGGGTTTTTGTTTTACTGTTTTCTCTTTCTGGGATTTATTTTCTTCTTGGAGATGTAATATCAGTTGATATATAGCAAGGAGTTTCTTTGGCCGTGAGCTTGATAGACGTTTGGAAGGAAAAAATTAGAGTAATGCTATAGTTACCGATGAGTGTGAACCGAATTTGTGCACCGAATGATGTGGCTAAATCCTGACCATTGATTTATTATCATTTAATATTAATCAACGGTCAGGATTTTGCCACATCATTCGATGCACAAATTCAGTGTAAACTTTTCGGTAACTCTATCATTTTCCAAAAAATTATGAGCAGTGAAAAAGTTTGGACGGGGAAGGAGTGACAAAGAGCTTTTTATTTATTTATTTATAATTAAAAGTAAATTGTATTTATTAATTTTTATTTTATAACAATGAGGAGTAGATGAGGTATTTTGATTGCTTTTAAAGTGTCGGAGACAGATTGTAACCCCAGCTAACGGTAGGGGATCGCAAGAATATTTGGAAACTACAGGGGGTTTAGGACATTTCCTCAAGTCATTTCTTAAGGTTAAATTAATTATTTCAAATATTTAACATAATTTCAAGTATTTTTATTGGAAGTCCAAGATAGTTAGCCATAAAAAATAATTTCAAGTATTTCTATTATTTATAAAAAAAAAAAAAGAATTTACTATTTAACTTTTTTGTTTTTGAAAATAAAAAATAATTAATCATAAATAATTAAATACCATTGCCTGAACCCAAATTCAAACCCAGACCCGGCCAAAGCTAAACCGCTGATTGTTTATTTTAACCAGTAAAGCCCTAATACTAAAACCCTCTTGAATGAAATCCACGACTCTACGCGTGCTTGAAATGAAGAAGAAAATGGGTTCGTGAGCATTGGGTTTTGATTCGAGGAGACATATACATATTTTAATGATGTTGAAGATTATTAGAGGACGACAGATTTTTTGCTCCAAGTGTTTCAATAATCAACTTCTCCTTGCTAGAAATAGAACCGGTGAGTGGAACAAAAGAAAACCCACTTTCTTTCTCCAATGTTGTTGATGGGTTTTCAATATTTTTGCATTTCTGTCATCATAGGCTACTCTGCTTCTGGTTGCTGTGTTTTTTGTAATACAAAAGAAATGGGCGCTTAAATTGTGTTGTGATGTTGTTGTATTCTTATTACTATATTATGGACAAAAAATAGTCCTGTCTTTAGCAAGCATTTAATAGACGAAACGAAATCAAATTGAGATTTTTTTTTCCTTTTATGATTTTAGTGTATCTGATGAATTGCAAACAGAGCCATGATTTTAATATGTCATGATGCCCATGAATTTTTGTAGAAGGAATTTGTCACTAGCCTTTGTTATGGTTGCTAGAAGAAAGTTAAGGAACCTTTCAATTTTAATCCTGACCAGGGAGGTACCCGTCGTGAGATTTACATGATTGTAATATTATGAAAGGTGTGATTTTTAGACACGGATGTTAGTATTGTAAAGTGTGAAACATGAAAATCTTGAGATTGGATGAGAGGAGATGACTAACTGTGTGTTTCTATTCATTTATTCATGTTTTCTTTGCTTTAAGAAGAACCATATATGGTGAAATAACTACGTAAATGTGAGGAAAATTAATGTTAGGTCACCTATAACTCTAGTCTGTACAAGTATTGTATAGGATTGGAGGCTATGATGTTATAAAATGATAACAATGCTCTATGATGCTTGAACTAGAATCCGAGAGAATAACCCATATATTTTTAATATTTTTTTCTTGTGTTTTCAATGTCTAACTGAGCCATTTTCAATGCAGAAGAAAAGGTCATTCAATGTCTATGTGGTTTGTTGAATTTTAACTGAGGTTGGAGATGATAATGCTTCTCATTTTCTCATTTGATAGCTCGTATCTTATCCTGAAAAATAGTTTTTTTTTTTTTTTTATTTCCTTTTGAAGTTTAAAATTCTCATTCTGTAAGAAAATCATGCAATAATATGCAACCTTGATACTTGACAGTTCTTACTGAGATAAACAATGCTGTATATGGGTCAAATATACAATGGCGTGGAAGGTCACAGGCTGCCTCTGTTCCTTCTGATGTACCAAAAGCCAAAAGAGGTCACAAAAAGGTTTCAAAAGATAAACGGCATGCTATGGTGGAATCTTTCGTGAACAAGTATTTATTTTTATTTGTTTTCACATATGTAGTTGATATTTTTAAATCTACTCTGCGTATATGGTACTTTATAACTTGTCACTTTTTTTTTTTTTTAAATGTATTTAGAGAATGTGCCAATTTCAACTGTGCATGTAAATCATTCAGAATGAGATATTTTTCTTTATTTCTCCAATTATATCAATATATTGTTGATTAAAAGAAAAGAAAAAGAAAGATATAGCCTTTTCCCCAATGAAAGATCAATCTAGAGAAATGGGGATATTAACATGTAGCTTTATGAAGTTAGTGTAGTGTAGAAGATGTAGAAATGCTTAAATTGTCTACAATTGGGGATATTAACACCCAATTGTAGACAAATACAGCTTGCTCTAAAAGCTGTTCAAACAACCACAACTCCACTTCTGAAACAGAAAATGAAGAACTGTTAGCACTTAGCATTGACCCAATTCATCAAAGTGTTAGAAATGAAACATTCAAGAAAACAAAAATGGCATCAAAGCTCACTGATACATTTTGAAAATTCTTCCCAGCTCATGAAATAATTTTAACAAAAATGGTTAACTCACCAAATTTTTCCTTCAATTTCTGACCAGCGACGGCAAGAACATGTGATTAGGGGCATCGCTTTCACAGTGAACTAAAGATTTAAGGGTAGAAGTGGATTTGGGGTTTAAGGTTTGCATCAATTTGGAGGTGAAGAAATCGCTTCAATGTTTGCGAGATGGAGTTGTTGTTTCTCCGATTGGTTTTTCGATCGATGATAGCAACACAACAGGATGGAATTGCATGATTCACGGTGGAGGGGTTTAGGGTTCTTTTGCGATTTGGGGGAAACTAATTTGGGGGAGAAAATCGTGTTATACTATTTTTAAGTTAGGGGGTAAATGTCATTTTTTGAAGTTTTTTAAAAGTCCAATTTCACAGATCTCCCCCACATGGTTTATAAAACTAACTCAAAGGTCCCTACGAGTTCGAGCCACACCAGGCTCGCGAGCTTACGAGCCGAGCCTCCCCCTAATCGAACACGACTCGATCACCCCACCAAGTTCGAGCTGAGTCGACTCGACTAACCATGAGTCGAGCTCTTAACGAGCTCCAGATGAGTCGAGTTGAGCCGGCTCGCGAGCCGTTCGACTCGTCTAACACCCCTAGATAAAGTTATCTTCTAACCAATTATCAATATGAAAGAAAGAATTGACAATAATGTTTCCAAGGAGTTTCGAACACTGACTTTAATCTAGAATATACAATTGCAGAATTTTAATATCAAATTAGTATAAATATTATTTGATGACAATAATTTATCAATTCTCAACTCTGAAAGAAGTAATTGCAACATGTTTCATCATAATTAAGAGACTTTTAATTTATCAAACCAAGCAAAGTAACTTCTGCTTCCATGATGCAAGTGTCATTAACCAAGTAACCCAGTTTCCGGTCCTTCAATTTAGCCAATGGCATGAATTTTTCTGCATCTTGGGCCTTCGAAAACAACGGACAAGGGAACACGATGTTATCTGAAGATAAATAATAAAAAACCTCCATCAAACTCAAAAGAAACCAAGAAATTTACACAACTCAAAATATTTGTGTGCACATTATAAACGTACTTTGAAATAGAAAGTCTTTTCCGTTCATTTGATCTTTGACACGTAGAATGAAATTCACAAACAATTTAGTACTGTCAGGAATACTTGAAGCAGGAATAAATAGATAAAGTGGAATGTAGCTGCCCTTGCCTTCTCCAACTCCTCTAGGGTTGAAACCAAATTGCCTGCAAAACATTAACAAGCAACTTCATAAGTAATTTGAGTAGCAAAAAGAAGTAAATTAAATCAATAAGTGTTAGAGGAATTTTTTATATACCATTTTTGGTCTCCAAATGACACAGAGTAATGAAATTGATCACCAGATAAAGTCGAAAAATTATTAACTTTCCAAGTATGGAAATAAGTAGTAGGCTCCTTCACCATGGATAAGCGCTCCCCTTTGAAAGTGCTTTTGACAACAAAAACCTCCGCACCAAATACACAAGTGTCATCTATAAGGTATCCCTTTAAAGGGTTATGAAACATTTCCAAGTCTATAAATTTAGTGATTCCCCATTCAGTCTTCATTGCATGGTAACGTCTTTCAATCCACTCTGTGGGATAAACATGCAAAGTTGCTATAATTATACATTGTCGCGGAAAAATATAAGATGCAAACAGATGCATAAAAAATTATACAATGATATATCATTGTATTGCCTGTGTATATCACGTGCATTAATGTAATATACTATCATTAGATGATTACTGGTGCATTTCACTGAAGACTATTCCCTATTGGCGAGGACTTACCTTGTACAACAATATACTTGTTTTGAAGTTGATCTAATATGAAAAAATTGAAAACCACGTTCACATCCCACCCGGAAGAGAACGAACTGGTTTCCGTTAATGCCAAATAAATAGAGATAAAACCTTCCCCATCTTTCTGCTTGTCCCCGGATGGGTAGAGAGACAATTTCCTGTCATTTTCATGTTAAATTGCAAAGTTTGTAAGAGTTAGAACATTTAATGTATTTCATCCATACAGTAGAATCGAAAATTGTCATAATACATATATAGTTTATTTTAAATACTCAAGAGATAGAGCAGAAAGCGTATATACACCATTTGTAGCCTCCTGCATCAAACTGGTTTGAGGTGTACTTTGGTAGAGGAGCTTTAGATAGTAAAGAGAAAGACTCGATTTTGAACAAGTAATGACTAGGTGGAGCATCCCTTCCTGAAATCAACGGATTAAAATAATATATACATTTCTTGATGAAACAAGAAATAATTTAGGTGAAATAACCAGACAATATAAATCCTTCATAACGAGTTAATAGAATTTTAGCATTAGACTTGGTTACTTAATTTTTGGTAAGCATGGAAGATATACCTGTTAAAATGTTGCCTTCAATAAAGAGCTGAGTGTCCATGTTCAATTGCTTGCAGAGATTGACTGTGAATTTGATTTTACAGATATAGATTTAAACTAGCTAGGATGATCTATTTATATAAATTAAAATGTCCTGTTAATGAGGTTTTAATTGCCTTGTTCATGGAAAGGAATGACCTTGAATTTCAGAATTTTTTGTTCATGCCCTCACAAATACACAAACGAATAAATCCAATATCAGATAAGAATCAACCCATTTCTTAACGTATATCATACACAATTTTTACGTAATAATAACGTTACATATAGACCTTCCTTGTAGCTTGCTAACTCTTTCATCCCTTTATTAAGGTTAAAATTAAAATAGTATAAATTACATCAACTGAATAGATAAAAATCAAAATAATTTTTAAGGTTTGAGCTTGAAGGGACATTATTCATTTGCAATCTTCTCTAAACCCCCTAACTATATCTTTATTACATAAAACCTCTTTTTAAACCATTCACCCTTTTTCAATCCTCTGGCTTGGATTTTCATTTTAAAAAGCATATTCCTTTTCTCGGGCCTCTCTGAAACAACTTTCAGTTTCTTTGCTTCTTGTTCATGGAAAGGAATGACCTTGAATTTTCAGAATTTGATTGTTTATGCCTTCGCAAATACACAAACGAATATATATAATGTCAGATAAGAATCAACTTATTTCTTATCGTACATCATACAAAGTTTTTACTTAATAATAATGTTACATATATACCTTCCTTGTAGCTTGCAAGTGATGAGTTGCCTCTTCCGTCCCTTTATTAAGGTTAAAATAGTATAAATTACATCAAACCAATAGATAAAAATCAAAATAAGTTTTAAGATTTGAACTTCAAGGGACATTATTCATTTGGAATATCTCTAAACCCCCGAACTATATCTACATTACATAGACCCCTTTTTTAAACCATTCACCCTTTTTCAATTCGATGGCTTGGATTTTCATTTTCAAAAGCATATTCCTTTCCTTGGGCCTCTCATAAACAAACTTCAGTTTCTTTGCTTCTATTTCTACTAAATAACCCAAAATCAATGGTTCTTTCTTGGGTCTGATATTTATGCTATTTATGGTGGTACATTTGAGTAAGAAAAATTATGATAGATTTTATTTGTGTGAAAGAGATGGGAAGAGAATAATTAATTCTGAGTGGGATTATAGGATTAAATGGTGTTTGGTGAATGCTTTTGGAGTTCTATTTTTTTTTTTTTTTTTAAATTGGGTTTTTGTTTTACTGTTTTCTCTTTCTGGGATTTATTTTCTTCTTGGAGATGGAATATCAGTTGTTATATTGCAAGGAGTTTCTTTGGCTGTGCGCTTGATAGACGTTTGGAAGGAAAAAATTATGTGAGCAGTGAAAAGCTTGGAAGGGAAAGGAGTGACAAAGAGCTTTTATTTTATTTTTTATTTTTTTATAATTAAAAGTAAATTGTATTTATTAATTTTTATTTTATTGGAATGAGGAGTAAATGAGGTATTTTAATTGCTTTTTAAGTGTCAGGAGACAGATTCAAGTAGCCCCAGCTAACGGTAGGGGATCGAAGGAAGTTTCGGAAACTCGAGGGGGTTTAGGGTACATCCCTAAAGTCATTTCTTAAGGTTAAATTAATTATTTAAGCTTGAATATTATTTCAAATATTTAACAGATTGATCACTATTGATTAACATAATTTCAAGTATTTTTATTGGAAGTCGAAGATAGTCAGCCATAAAATAGTAAAAAAATAAGGGTGCCCTTCTTTCCCTATTTTTGTCCTATCATTTCCAAAATAAACGTTTTGTTTTTCTATTTTGAAAATACTATTATATTTTATTTAATTTTAAACCCCTTAAGTTTGTTAATTTAACTAAACACCTCCAAAAAGGTTTAGAAATTAACAAAAAATTACCTTCATCCACCCACATTTGTCAGATTCCAACCACCACCGTCGAAAGGTGACCGAAATCTAGTATAATAATACACTATTGACTGGATCTGACCAGTAGAGCGTCGATCTGGCCTTTTCTGGACAGATCCACTATAGATCTGACCGGAAAAGGCCAGATCTATGGCGAAAGATGTGGCCGTTGATCGTTGGTCGTAGCTAGTCGTCAATGATTGTCAATATATGGCTATCATTGATGACCAAATGCAACCAGATCTAATTGTCAATGACCAAATCTAACCACAGATTTGGCATTTTCCGATCAGATCCACAGTGGATCTAATTAGAAAATGTCATATTGACGCACGACGGACCAGATCCAGTTGATTGTGCACCGATACGACGACTCCGACTACCCTCCGACGGTGGTGGTTAGCTACCGGTATTTAATGGGTGGGTGAGGGTGTTTTTGTTAATTTTCAATGTTTTATTACAGGGGTGTTTAGTAAATTAATAAATCTAAAAAGTTTTTTTGTTAATTTTTAAATTATATCTCGTAATAATCACCCAACTCTATTTTTTCAAAAACACTATCCAAAATTCTATTATTTAAAAAAAAAAAAAATTTACTATTTAACTTTTTTGTTTTTGAAAATAAAAAATAATTAAATACCATTGCTTGAACCCAAATTCAAACCCAGACCCGGCCAAAGCTAAACCGCTGTCTGTTTACTTTAACCAGTAAAGCCCTAATACTAAAACCCTCTTGAATCAAATCCACGACTGTCTACGCGTGCTTGAAATGAAGAAGAAAATGGGTTCGTGAGCATCGGGTTTTGATTCGAGGAGACATATACATATTTTAATGATGTTGAAGATTGTAAGAGGACGACAGATTTTTTGCTCCAATTGTTTCACTAATCAACTTCTCCTTGCTAGAAATAGAACCGGTGAGTGAAACAAAAGAAAACCCACTTTCTTTCTCCAATGTTGTTGATGGGTTTTCAATATTTTTGCATTTCTGTCATCATAGGCTACTCTGCTTCTGGTTGCTGTGTTTTCTGTAATACAAAAGAAATGGGCGCTTNTAAATCAATCAAGAAGAAAAAGAAAGAAACTAATACAGATTAATGTATTTCAGTTCATGCGTTATTATCCAATACATAGACGGGTCATTCATTACGACATAATTTTTCACAATTTGTAAATATGTCCCCTTCAATAAGCTGTATAAAGTAATAGAAGTGAGAATACTCTCCAATTTGTACATTAATTTTTCAAGATTTCTAATTTAATAACCTGTTGACACACAAACATCGATCAATGTTTCAAACAGATTTCACGACCTAAATTTGTCTCACTTTGGTGAATCAGATTAGAAAAAAGTAAAGTGTTTCGTGAGAGAATTGAATGATATGAATGAAAAAAGAATTATTAAAAGAGAAGAAACCTGAGATCGTAGTCGGATTGATTTGATTCACGAAACCCTAATCAGTGACTGAGTGAGTGTGGAGGGAAAGTAAGGAAACAACTGTGCCTTCAAATAATAATAATTAATAATAAAATAAATGTGAGGTACGTAAAGACGGTATTGCCCTTGCTGATGTGAAAATTCGCGCACTCCCCTTTTTTGCTTCTTCCACTCCTGATTTTTGACCGTTGAGCCTGATGTTTATCATTTCAAATTTTAGACCCTTTGTACTAATCACCCTCCGTGGTGGGAATGGTTAAATAAAGGTTATTGGTGTATTATTTAAAAAATTGTAAGTATAAATCATCTTGATTTTTAATAGGGATTACCACTAGAAGGTATATCTGATCTTTAACTTTAGAGTCTCGAGGGATTAGTCGAAAAAATCCTCTAATCAGAATAGTTGAGATACACACAAACTGATCTAAAAATCCTTTAGAAAAAAATCGAGAGATTAGTCAATATGCTTCATACTGGCCTAGAAATCTCCCCAGGGCTTAGAAAAAAAACTAGTTGTACTTTTAAAGATAAAATTGAAAAGAAAAAAAGTTGTACTTTTATTGATAAATTAATAATGTTAAATGTATACATATTACGTTATCATCTTTATTGAGGAAAAAAAAGTCTTAAATAGTTTAAATTATTTTGTGTTTTAAGTTAAATCAAATTAATAATAACATAAACATGAAATTACATATTTTGGTTTTTTCCAATACTTATGTGGCATGAACTGTTGAGTTCATAAACTATAGGAAAAAAAATATAAAATACCACAAATGTGTTAGGTCATACATGGTACAATTGAATCTGATTTCGTTATATTTCAAGTTTTTTCTTTTTCTTTTTTTTCCCTTTTTTTGTCATCTATCTTTATATGTCGAAAATGTATATGGTATGCATGTATTGGTTTGTGGTACCATTAATACGGTACCAAAGTACAACTAATAGAAATTCTCGAAATTTTAGCTACTATCACTCTACTTGCACTAATTTAAGACGTTGAACTACAGCTACTTTCACTAATATACTAGGCTGATAGCTCATGTTAATTTGCTTGTTTCAATCTCCAAATAAACTAACTTCTTAACTACTATAACTTGTTTCTATTTGTAGCTTCACTCACTTGTAAAAACTCCCACTATTTTATTACTTTGTTTCTATTTGTAGGTTGATAACGAACCAAACCAAATTACCTGCATTTTTTTTAGCCGGGAAGATGGGTCACACCGTTGGTAAAGATATGATCTATTACACAGTCACAAATTCTAATGATGACCCACTAAACCCTGTACCTGGAACCCTGAGATACGGAGCCAGTATAATCTCTAGAAAGGTATGGATCACTTTTCAAAGGCACATGAATATCAAACTTAAAAAACCACTTCTCATTAGTAGTTTTACCACCATTAATGCTCGCGGTTCATACATTCATATCTCAGGCGTTGCATGTCTCTTGACCTATGAGGTAATTAATCAATAACATTTTTTCTTCATTTTTTATGTCTCTTCATACATATTTAAATGGTTGAACTCGTAATTAATGTGCAAGTGAATATACAATCAGACAATGACTTAACTGATGAATAATTGTCTTAACTGATGAATTTTCTTCACCAGGCAACCAATGTGATCATTCATGGATTATATATCCACCATTGCCAATTTGGAGGGTCAGGCTCTGTGATTGGTTCAAACTCAAAGATTGCGAATTTGGGAGCAATAAACGCAATGGAATCAGGCTGGTTACAGCATCAAAGGTTTAGATCGATCACAATACACTCTATTAATGTCAGGATGGTCTAATTGATGTCATTCGAGGCTCCACTGATGTTACAATCTCCAACAACTGGTTTAAAAACCAAGACAAAGTTACGCTTCTCGGGCACAATGATAAGTACTGTAGTATTCAACCATTTTGGATCTAATTTTAACCATCGTATGCCAAGGTGACTTATCAAATTTTAGAACATGATTAATTCTTTTTTGTTTTCCAATTTTCAGCCTGAGATTGAACTTTAACATAAAAATAATGTAGGGCTCGCTATGGATTCACTCATGTAGCTAATAACCTGTACCAAGAATGGACAAGCTACGCTATTGGGGGAAGGATGAACCCTAAAATCGAGAGCGAAGCCAACTTGTTTATCGCACAGAAATCAGGGAAGAAGAAGGTAATTTCGATAGCTCATATAACTCTATGTTACTAAGATAATGTGCCTTTATAGTTTATGTTTCATGACTCTAATTTGATCGAAATACTATAACGTTGTGTTATAACGTTATTGGTCCTGAATCTGATATAATAATTGTATTCAGTGAGATAACTTAAATAGGTGACATGGAAATTAGGAAGGTCATCAAAACTTTATTCAGTCGGGGATGTCTTTGAAAACGGTGCTTTTTTTGAAGCAACGGGTTCTGGAAGTATACAGCCAAATTACAAAGATGAACCAAGATTTCAAGTTGCAAACGCAAATTCTGTGCGGGCATTTACAGAGACATCTGGTGTTTTAGTCTGCTCGTGGACATTTACATGCTGAGTTGATCACAAACATCGAGTTATATTTATTTCATTTGTACTGTACCAATTAAATTCATCTGTTTCTTTACAACATAACCATCAACTAGTTTTCTGTTGGGATACAGAAAAATGTTGTACTATATGTGCAGTTACATACTACGCAACCATTTGTTCTAACACATATATACCTCTTTACATTCTGACTTCCATATGCTAAGCTTATCAAGTTTTAATTACCAAGATTATATTCGGCAAATGAAAGAAGTTACAGAATTCCCTTCATTAACTAGGGATGCCTGTAGCATATTGTCTTAAATTAGGGTCCATTATAAAGGGTCACTTCTGCATTGAGCTCCTCGCATAACCCTCTATAAACATACCCATGAAATAATGCAGCTTCCTAACCATGGAGGATGAAAAACCCGGAAAACTCTTCTATATAATATTTTTTATACTATTTCACCCAAGATCCTCTCATATCAAATGTTATCACATCCACCCAAATTTACCTTGGCTGTTGGTTTCTTTCACATTCAGATCTTAAAATCAACAGTTTGAATAATTCCGCAGGGTTTCAAGGCATCCAAGAAATACATTTGGCAAGTTTGTAGTATTGACTACTTGAACAATTTGTCAATTGAATAGTCATCCACCAGAAACAGAACATATCAAACCAATTTCCACGCGTTGGAAACAAGATGACAATATTGAACGTCAAGATTGCTAAAGTAAAAGTTAAAACTGTCATTGGAACCTTCCCACTCATCCATTTATTTCATTCCACATGGCTCAAAGGGTAGTGACTTCAGGCCTTAAGGGCTTCCCCAGCTTTGACAAGGTCTTCGAGCACCTTCGTGATCTGTGCCTCACTCAAACCTTCTAACCGAATGCCCTTCTCAACACCAAAATCTGTATAGATAATAAAGGGTCACATCGATGAGATAAAAACATAAAATTCAAGTCAAAAGCACAAGGCTAGAGTGGTAAGAGACCAAGTCTCTTCATTTACCAGGGTGTTTGCTGCGTAGTGTCTTAAATTAGGGTTAAATTAGAAAGGGCCACTTCTAAGAATTGTTGAAGTATCCCCAACAATTTTGCTCTTACCATATATTGGAAAAAATAACAAAGTTCCGTCCCACCCACAAAAAGAAAAATAAAATAATAAAGGAAAGGAAAAGGAAAAAAGCATTTAGCAGATAACAAGACTCAGACCCTGGAGCTTAAAAAAAAATTGATTTCACAATATATGGGACACCAACTGAATTCAGCACAAGAAGTTGTATTGCAAGAGAAAGTAAATGTCCGACCTCAAAAGAAAACCAACTTGGATAAGCACTAATTTCTCATTTTTGATAAAACAAGGAAATGTGTAGAATATGAAAATATCGGTTTGCATAAGTGGAAATCTAGAGGGCAAACAAGTTCTCCTCATGGATACCTCAAGGATACAATTAAAAGGTTTGTGAATTCAAAACAGAAAAAAGCGCCTAACATATTCTGGAAAACAAACCCAAGAGTAGCAACCAAAAAATTAAACTCGTGCTGATCAGGACAATGCAGCTTCCTAATTATGGAGGACCAAAAAAAAAAGGCAGGACTTTCTCTACTTCAGAAAACTAGAAGCTTAAAATTTTACCTTATCCCATGCTACCAAGACCTTCTCTTCAATAACATATAAGACTTTCTTCTATTGCTCTCGTTCCATATCACCCACAAGATGCAATTCACCACCCAAAGCACTAAAAGCTTTTTTCTAGACTTTTCAACCAGTAAAGCAAAAGTGGATTGAGGCACCACCTAAGAAATCTCAAGAGCTAAAATATAGTGAATTTGAGATGCAAACAGTAGGGAGAGGAAGAAGACCGACACTGTTGCAGATAACCACTGAGGGTTTAGAAATATAAAAGATCTCCAAACCCTAAACGCAAAGCTTACTTTAACAAGGCAAGGCTACAGAGTTAACAGGAAAAATATGGTTCAGTCCTGTGGCTTTATTAAGTCACCTTAACAGCAAGAATTTAATGTGTCTTGATTATGTGTATGTTCTACATATGTACTCGAATTTCTTTTTCTCTAATTACTAATACTCTTTTGAGAAATTTTTCTGAGTTAAATCAATTTCACGACTGAAAGTAGGGAACTCTGATTCTTTTATAACGTGGACTCATTTATATAATATTCTCTAATCACTAGGGTTACAGTTAAATGCTTAATGAGTTGTAAGAAAATGAATAGAGAAGGCACTCGTGCAATAGCAAGAATCACACTAATTACTAATCACTTTGTCAAATTGAGATACAAAAACATAAAGAATGATAATAAATCTAAAGTCTATTGTTTTGTTTTCATAAAGCAACCACATTTCAACTCTATCAAATTTAAAGAACTAAACTTCAACTTAAAAATCCACGACCACCACCTCCAGCTCGGTTCTCACCTAAATCCAAACTATAAATTAACAAAAAATAACAATATCGCAAAAAATAACACAGAACAAAACCCATAATTTATGCTTTTCAAAAGTCATACTAAATTTGAAGAATATAAAGATAAAAATAATCCTCATAACAAGGCAATTTTCAGGCGAAAGAAGAGAGTAACAGTACCGTATCTAGCCCATAACTGGGGCTCAATGCCACTGCATTCACGGATCAAGATTGGGAGTTTAGGGTTTAAAGTCTTGAGATCCTTATAGTTCTTCTCTACAAATGATCTACAATAAGAACAAATTTATGTGATTTTAAATTGTTTGTGGTTAATAACAATTACTCCAACAAAAATAGATAACGTCTGCAGAACCCTCATTGTTCAATAACAAGCAAACAAAGAAATGAATAAATACCTAGTGGCGGAGCTCGACGGCGAAGTCTGGCACAGTAAGATCCTCAGTTCCTTCATAGCCCGAGACAGATTTCCTCTCCATGCCATCTCTCTCTTTGCTGTTTGATCGAACTCGATGAGATTATGTTAAGAGGAATTCAAAACATTTCTTTCTCAGTTTTAGAAATCTAATGGCTGGAAAAAAAAAGGGCGGGTTTTATCGTTTTGGCCCTCAATGTTTAGAGTGTTTCAGTTTAGTCTTAATATTTGAAAACCTAACAGTTTAGGCATTGGAGGTCAGAGGCTTTAGGCTTAACAACCATTGAAAAGACTTGTCAACCAGAGCCAAACACATACTAATTATTTATAAAAAATAAAAAAAATAAAAAAGTTTATTAGGTGTGTTGTCTTTCTACTTATGAATTCGACATCTAATTAATTTATATCTCTACTTAATCACATCAAATTATCTTTTGTTCTATCCAACTCACTCTTGACCAGTCATTCTACTTAACTAACCCTTTTTTCACAAACTTGACATTGAAATGGGAAATTCATAAATGACTCAAGGTGAGACCCTCCTTTAATTGTGTAACTCTTGTTTACTTTATCCTCTTCTCATGTACCTGAATCCAACGAAGATATAAGAATCTCATAAAACGGACAAGAATTTAAGTATATTTTGATATCAATATTTAGAGGTCAGATACTTACCTACTATACCCTATATGCTGCATATCCACACTTAGGAACATGATATTCAACCTATTTCTACCCAATGTAGTATTGAAACACATCTCTTTCTAAATCTCAATTTTACAAATATAATGGGGGTTTTCATTTGGTCTTTAATATGTACCTTTTAGTCCTGACATTTTAAAATATAACAGTTTAGTCCAATTTGATAATGGATCTTAGTTTTACAAATCTAATAGCGAGAAAAAATTTCACTTGGAATTGGCACTGGATGCATACCCGTTTAGTTGTATTAATCAAATAAGAATGTTACATATTATTTACTATAAACCAAATTAATATTGTGTAATCTTTTGTTATATTAATTATCAAGATATTTAAGAACTACAATGACCATAACAACAATATTGCCTACATGATTGATACCCACTTTGGATATTGGAATCATTTATGGGCCCATTCTATCAAATGTATATTGGATCATTTAGGCCCATTATGTCCAAGAATGATTATATATCAATATATACAATAAGAAGTAATGAAAGTGAAAATATATAAACTAAAATAAAAAAGATCAAATACTCTTGTTAATGACCAAAGATAGATACAGCGGGAGTTCGATATATATCATATTAGAACTCAATAGGTTGATTTCTAATAGCTATTGAGAGAGAAAAGACTTCCTTATTGCGAAAACGGGAGTTTGATATATATCATTAATGACGGCGACAGCGTGAGAGAGATTGTGAGATTCAGAGCTGCTGCTGTGTTGTCGGCGTGAGAGTGGCAGAATTTCAATTTCAAAGATTGTCAGATTCAGCCTAAAAGTGAAAGAGTTTCAGATTGAGAGATTGTGATTTGTGCGATTCAACCTGAGAGTGAGAGAGATTGAGAGATTGTGATTTGTGCGATTCAACCTGAGAGTGAGAGAGTTCCAGTTTGAGTCTATGAGAGTGAGAGAGTTTCAGTCGTCATCAGAGTGAGAGAGAGACAAAACTATTCACTTCAGGCTTAGGGTTTTGTTTTTGCAATTTTTTAAATTTACGTTTTCTTTTTTGCTCTTTTTTTTTTTTTTTTATTAAAATGCGGATGCATTACCCGACCCACCCGCTTTTTTACGGGTGGACCGGGTATGGGTAAATTTCATATGAGTAATTTATATAGTTACCCACACCATAGTTACCCACACCAACCCGTTTGGGTTACGTACCCGCAGACTTGCAGGTACAGGTACCAGTTTGGAAGTGCTAAAATAGTCCTTTCATTGCTGCCATATCAATAAGGGAAAAAAAGGTATATAATTTGAAAAAAAAAAAAAAACTTCAAAGACAAACTCAGTCAAAAACAGAAAAGAAGAAGGGACCAAAAAAAGTTAGTGGGAAACAACTTTATGAAAAGTCCACACAATTACAAGCTTTTACAATATTGAATCAAATAAATAAAAATGGGATAAGAAAAAACTTAGTGGTAAACAACTTTATTAAAAGCTCAAGCAATTACATGTGGCTCCTACAATTTTGAGTCAAATAAGAAAGAGAAAATGGGACCGAAAAAACTTAGTGGTAAATAACTTTATGAAAAGTTCACACAATTATACTTTTACAATATTAAGTCAAATAAAGAAAAGAAAAGAAAATGGGACCAAAAAGAAGTTAGTGGTAAACAACTTTATGAAACAATGAAGATTGGTTCACAACTTAATCTCACAAATTCTCTCTCACAACATCGATGTGGCAACTCATAATTGGTTAGGTAGAAAACTTATTAGAAACCAATTACAAGTTGCCACGTTAGAATTGTAAGAGAAAGTTATTGAGATTGGGTTGTAAGTGCAATATTATCCTTCATGAAAAGTTCAAGCAATTAAAACCTTTTACAATATTGAATCAAATAAATAAAAGAAAATGGGACAAGAAAAAATTTAGTGGGAAATAACTTTATGAAAAGTTCAAGCAACTACATGCTTTTACAATTTTGAGTCAAATAATGAAAGAGAATATGGGACCAAAAAAAAAATAATGGTAAACAACTTTATGAAAAGTTCACACAATTACAGGCTTTTACAATATTAAGTCAAATAAAGAAAGAAAATGAGACCAAAAAGAAGTTAGTGGTAAACAATTTTATGAAATAATAAAGATTGGTTCACAACCCAATCTCACAAATTCTCTCTTACAATCGCGACGTGACAGCTCACAATTAGTCAGATGAAAAAACTCATTATAAACCAATTATAAGTTGCCACGTCAAGATTGTGAGAAAAAATTTGTAAGATTGAGTTACAAGTGTTGTATTATCCCTCATGAAAAGTTCATGCAACTACAACCTTTTACAATATTGAATCAAATAAATAAAAGAAAATGGGACAAGAAAAAAACTTAGCAATAAACAACTTTATGAAAAGTTCAAGCAATTACATGCTTTTACAATTTTGAGTCAAATAATGAAAGAGAATATGGGACCAAAAAAAACTTAGCGGTAAACAACTTTATGAAAAGTTCATGCAATTGCAGGCTTTTACAATATTAAGTCAAATAAAGAAAAGAAAATGGGACCGAAAAGAAGTTAGTGGTAAACAATTTTATGAAACAATAAAGATTGGTACAAATTCTCTCTCGCAACCCTGTCGTGGTAGCTCACAATTGGTCAGGTAAAAAAACCCATCAGAAACCAATTGTGAGTTGTCACGTCATGATTGTGAGAGAGAATTTGTAAGATTAGATTGTAAGTGTAGTATTATCCCTTATGAAAAGTTCACGCAATTACAACCTTTTATAATATTAAATCAAACAAATAAAAGAAAATGGGACAAGAAAAAACTTAGTGGTAAACAACTTTATGAAAAGTTCAAGCAATTACGGCTTCGTTTGGTTTCATTTTGGGAATACTACTTTTAGTATTTCCAAAAAAGTTAAACAGTAAAATACCCAAAAATCAGAGTTTTTGGGAATACTACTCTCAATATTATTTAACTTTTTTTAAACTCCTTAAATTTGTTAATTTAATTAAATACCCCTAAATATTTTTTAAAAAATTGCAAAAACACCCCAGTAATCCACATTTACCAGATTCCGGCCACCACTACCAGAAAATGGTCAGAATCTGGTAGGATGGCGCACTACCGGTTGAATCTGGCCGGTATGCGCTGATCTAGCCTTTTCCTGCCAGATCCACGGTGGATCTGCCCGAAAAAGGCCAGATCTTTGGCCGTAACAGTCAGTAACGACAGCCAACAAACGGTCGTCGTTGACCATCAACGATGACCATTTGTTGGCGGTCGTTGACGAGCAAATACGGCCAGATCTGGTCGTTGACGGCCAGATCTGGCCGTAGATTTGGCCTTTGCCGACCAGATCCACGGTGGATCTGGTCGGAAAAGGCCATATCGGCGCATGACCGGCAAGATCCAGCCAGTTATGCGCCTATACGACGACTCCGACCATCCTCCGGTGGTGGTGGCCAGCTGTCCGTATTTGAGGGTGGGTTGGGAGTTTTTTTGTTAACTTTTAATGTTTTATTATAGGGGGTGTTTTGTAAATAAACAAACATAAGGGGTATTTTATTAATTTGTAAATCCTACATCGTAATACCCGCCCAATTCAACTTTTTTTTAACTTTTTTCAAAAAACTTTTCCCAAAAACATAAAATTGTGAACCAAACGGAGCCTACATGCTTTTACAATTTTGAGCCAAATAATGAAAGAGAAGATGGGACCAAAAAAAACTTAGTGGTAAAAAACTTTTTGAAAAGTTCACGCAATTGCATGCTTTTACAATATTAAGTCAAATAAAGAAAAGAAAATGGGACCAAAAGGAAGTTAGTGGTAAACAATTCTATGAAACAATAAAGATTGGTTCACAACCCAATCTCACAAATTCTCTCTCACAATCCTGACCTAACAGCTCACAATTGGTCAGGTGAAAAAACCCATCAGAAACCAATTGTGAGTTATCATATCATGATTGTGAAAGAAAGTTTGTGAGATTGAGTTGTAAGTGTAGTATTATCCCTCGTGAAAAGTTCACGCAATTACAACCTTTTATAATATTGAATCAAATAAATAAAAGAAAATGGGACAAGAGAAAAACTATGAAAAGTTCAAGCAATTACATGCTTTTACAATTTTTAGTCAAATAATGAAGAAAAAAATGGGACCCAAAAAAACTTAGTGGTAAACAACTTTATGAAAAGTTCACGCAATTACAGGATTTTACAATATTAAATCAAATAAAGAAAAGAAAATGAGACCAAAAAGAAGTTAGTGGTAAACAATTTTAAAAATAATAAAGATTGGTTCACAACCCAATCTTACAAATTCTTTCTCATAATCCCGATATGATAGCTCATAATTAGTCAGGTGAAAAAAACTCATCAGAAACTAATTGTGAGTTGTTACGTTAGGATTGTGAGA